CCACCACCCCCTCCCCGCCTCGCCGGCACACACCGCGGGGCACCGGCCCGCCAGCCGCCGCTCCCCCCGCCCCAGCGCCGCACCGTAACAGTCACAACGAGAAGAGAAAGGGTGGAAAAAAGCTCCGTCTCCGGCGCTGAAATCGGTTTCGCCGCCGCCGAGCCCACCCCGCGCAGCCGGGGCGCGCAAGCTACCCACGCCGGAAAGCGCCGGGAACAACGCTGTTCCGAGGGACCCACGGCGCGGGGCATGGGGATTTTGCAGGCAGCGCTTGATCTGATAAAGAAAATCAAAGCCACATTCGCGCTGTTTCCCCCCCGGCTAGAAATAACCTTCCTCCTGGACATGCCAGGGGAGCCAGGAGACATTGTGCTGACTGGTGGTTTTTGGATTGTTGGGTTTTGGGTTTTTTTTCTGAAATAGTAAAAAATAAACTACATCTGCATTTCAGCGGCCGCAAATGAACTTTAAGTTAATGCTGCGAAATAAATTAATGTTGGGGGTTTTAATTTTTTTCTCCCCCTCGCGCTGGAAAAAAAAAAATCCCCTCGGATTGATACTGTAAACCTCAGTTCTTAGAAAATAACCTGAATGTCACAGCAACCCCCTGGCAAATGCAAACAGAAATAAACTTCGTGAAAAAAAAAAAAAAATCCACGGCTTCCTTGCTAAATAGTAGAAAGTAGACATTTTATTTAGGCATATTATTGCATGCACCGGTTAAGTCGAAATCAACTGAGCTGCAGCCACCTCTATTTTTGGCCGGTAACATTTCCATTTGGTTTAATTGCACATGTCTAATATTTAAACGTATTAAGCCATGTTTCCCTGCTTACGGTAGTGTCATATACATTTCTCACCTTTTAGGTTCTGGCTCACAGGAGCCCCTGCGACTTTGACAGCTGTCGCTTTGGCTGCACAGGAGACGAATCGCCCTCCTTTTGGTGCCAGAAGAAGCAGGAAATTAGCCAGGTTGCAAGTTGAAAATCTGCCACGCCAGTGCTTTGAATCCAATATGCCACACCTTCCAGCGGGGGAACTGGAAATTGCCATCCCGGATCTGTGTTCTAGGCGGCTGCTTATGCCGAACCTCCGCACACTTTGTTCACTATTGCCTTACAAAGAACAAATGAAATGGGGATTGAAAGCCAGAGAGATCCGAAGCAGGACAGAGCTCAGCAAAAGAATGCGGCTCTATTCTCGCAAGGGAAATTATAAAAAAGTTCATGTTCACGGTTACCATCCACATGACCGACAACGACCAATGGAAAAACCGAACAACTCATAAAGTTGTATTGCAAAGTTGTAAATTTTCATAAACAACAACGGATTTATGGCCTTTTCCTCATCACTAAGAAGAGGCAGGTCTTAGAGAGGCGCCATCTTACCACAGAGGCAGCCCTGGAGTTTTTTAAAAGACCTGGAGTTTGTACTAATTTTATTAAAATTACAATTAGTACGTTGACCAGGAACGGAGTGTAGTAGAAAAAGGGAACTTCTGCGCAAATGATGCTCTGCTTCTACCTGTATTTACTCGGCCGAATAAAGGGACATTTCGGGCGAGGTTTTTGGGTTTGGGGTTTTTTTTTTTTGTGCTTTGTGCTTTGTGTTTTTTTGTGGTTGCTTTTTTTTTTTTTAATTTTTAAAAAAGATCGAAAATATTAGATCTCCTTGACATTACGTGGTACCTGGCAAAAATGGTACATTTTTCTAAAGCGGGGCGACTTTTCCTCTTTTTAATGTCACACCGATGCCCCCCGCCCCCCGAAAGCCGCACGCACAAACTACACACGTACCCGACCAGATCATTTACACTTGGAAGTTTCGCATGGCACTTTATGTTCATTACAAAATATTATTCCACTGCATGCGATTTCGGCTTGATCGCTAGCCGCCTGGACTGGGGTTATGATTGCAAGAGGACACGGGAACACGGTGGAAGGGAGCCCTCCCATAAAGATGGCTTTCCGCTTTATTAATCAACTGCGCTAAGGAAAAAAAAAATCACAAAGTGGAGATAGAGAAATTGACTGATTCCTATCAATTCATCACCTTGGAAATTTTTTTCCCTTCTGATTACGGAAAAAGAAAAAAAAAAAGATTTATGTGGCCTAATTTCTTTATTTGTCTGTGTAAATTATTTTTTGATGCTTCCTTCGAACTGTTTCCCTAATAAAGAAACACAATTCATTGTCAACAAGCATATTTATTTTCTGTGTAACATAAAACACATTTATCGTGGGAGATACTTGTACACGGTATCACTTCCAAAGAGAGTTCACAGACATTTTTTTTTTTTCCACTTCCAATACTTACACGGCATATCCAAATGTTCACAACGAACACATCGAAACACATTGTAACATACAATTTTTGAATAAACTTTAGCCAAACCTTCAAGACGGATTTATACAGAGTTCTTAACAGTACATCATGCTACAAAGTTTCCAAATTAATTACATACTTCCCAATTTATGACATGATCTTACAAATGAGCTCCAAGACGAATATAAATGACAAAAAAAAAAAAATCGTCCAAATATACAGTATCTGCTATTGTAGGAAAAGTCACGGTATTACATATTAACACGTTCGGATAATCAGGACAAACAGGGATTTTTTAAAGGTGGTTACATGGTCATTTAAATTCACTTTTCAAAGAACACTTTCCGCTATATTAAGTAAGATCAGCCTAGAATAAGAAAACGGCCTTTAGCAGAGGCAGACGAAGGTAGAAGCCAACGGGAGATATTAAACCGCTTTGTACAATATTGGCGTGTGTTTGCTTCCTCACTCGGAATAGTAAAGAATCGAGAACAAAGATACATTGCAGCATATGGTTTTCATTTATAATTGCTTTGGAATAAATATATTATTTTAAATTTAAATATATTCAGCCTTTTCGGTACCAAATTCTATACCAAAGCTATTGATGCGTGCTTTTCGAAAGACTACACTTACATTTCTAAAAGCATTTAGCGATTCACATTAGTAATGTTATCTTCTTTTGACTACTAAAATACAGTATACTTTCGAAGATAGGTAGGCGGAGCAAGATATATAGGTAGTCTGGAAAATAGGTAGTACAAATCATTGCTGTAGATTGTAGTGGTTTGTGGAAGATCTTTTTTTTCCCCCTTACTTGCTGTTTAACCTTTTGTTAGTGTAGCTGTTAGTTATGATACTTTTATAACAATAATTAAAAAAAAGAAAAAAAAGAGAAGTGCAGAGCTACTTATTCAAAATTAGGTAGTTTTTCTTAATATGAGCCTAATGCACTTTCCCCTTTACACATGATTGGGACTATTGAGTCAGGTAGTTACTTCGGAAGGTCACGGTTTACTATCTGTGCAAGCAGCATTTCTCCCACTGAAATGTCCCCTGGACAAACCCACCCAGGTTTGGGTAAACGAAAAAACAAATGATTGTAGGATGCTCTTAGGAGATATCACCGAAAGGTTCGGCACAGGGCGGGTTTGGGGAGTACGAGAGAGTGGAGAGAAGGCTGGAAAACCACCCCAAGAAACGTTTTCATGTTTGCAAACACTTGCTTGCAAGATGATTAATAAAGGGAAATGAATTTTTCTTTTTTTTAAATAAAAAGTGTCTCTCTCCTTTTTTTTTTTTTTCTTTTAAAGGGAGCTTTTCCAACTGTCATGTGCATACATTATACTAAGAGATCGCTTCCTCGAGTGGGACTCCTTAGTCCTCCTCCTCCTCGTCTTCTTCCACTTTCTCGACAGAGGCTGCTGCTGATGTGGGCTCGTTGGGAGCCGGGGTGCTGGAGCTCTCCTCCTTGTGCTCCTTCTTCCACTTCATCCTCCGGTTTTGGAACCAGATTTTGATCTGCCTCTCCGTCAGGCAGAGGGCATGGGCGATCTCTATCCTCCGCCGCCGAGTCAGATAACGATTGAAGTGGAATTCCTTCTCCAGTTCCAGGGTCTGGTAGCGGGTGTAGGTCTGGCGCCCTCGCTTCCTATCTGGACCTGAAAGCAGGCACACACGGCCAGGAGTTAGGCAAGAATAGAGGTGGAAAGTTTTCTCAGTTTAGTTTGGTTTTTTTTTTTAATAATAATAATTATTATTTTTAAATAAACGAACAAACAAACAAAAAGCGGCCGAGCGAGAGTGAATGATCCCCTTCTCTCACTTCCACCCGCCCCCCCACTTTGCCCTAACAAAGACATTTCAGCCACACGTCCTGCCCTGCTCAGGCAAGGCAAAAATTAAGTTGCTCGAGACCTAGAAAAAGTGGAGAGAAAGCATTCAGGAGAGGAGGTGGGGGAGGAAATTGCTTTTGGGAGGAGGAACTTTCCCCCCAGGCCATGTATTTCCCTAAAACCTTCCAGACTTTCGCGTTTCGCAAGGGGAAATAAAAAGCTGGAAGGCTGGGCCGTATTTATTTTATTTTTCATGTGGGGGGCTCCCTCCACCCCTCCACCCCACCCCGCCCGGATCGTAAACAATACATCGTACTTAGCTCCAGAAGAGAGCTCTCCTTTTTCACACACTCTCGCCCCCAGCG